ACAGGTCTCTTAAATTCCTTGAACAAAAGGCTTCCTCATAGTTTATAATGGCATAGTTAAGACCTAACATTTCTCTTTTTTAATTTATCTTATTTTTGATATAAATTTATTTTTAGTTTTCAACATTTACTTCCACAAGATTTTGAGTTCCAGATTTTCACCCCGTCTCGCCCCTACCCCCACCCCAAGATGGCATGCATTCTAAATACCCCTTCCCCTAGTCTGCCCTCTCTCCTATCCCCCCCCCTTATCCCCTTTCCCTTCTATTTTCCTCTAGGGCAGGATAGACTTCTGTACCCCATTTCCCATATTTCTTATTTCCCAGTTGCATGTGAAAATATTCTTTTTAAACATGTGTTTTTAAAACTTTGGGTTCCAAATTTTCTCCCTTCCTCCCTTCCTACCCACCTCATTGAAAAGGTAAGCAACTCAATATAGGTTGTACATGTGCAGTTATGCAAAACACTTCCATAGTAGGCCTGTTGTGAAAAACTAACTCTCTTTCCCTTAATCCTATCCTTCCCCCCCCAAGACCTAATGTTTCTGAAGGCTGATGCTCATAGAGCAAAATTTGGGGTAGGTGCTTTTGAGCAGGAAAGGCTTTAGTATGAACAGGCCCTGTTGTCCTAAGACTAGAGTCTAATTAAGTACTGAGAGGCTTATCCCCAGATGCCTGGCCTTTAGGAGATGAGATTTTTTGCTGCTAGGCCAGAACAGACTCATGAAACAAAGACAAAATGATTTGCAGTCTTTTTGTATCACCTTTTTAAAAAAATTAACCATTGCAAGAAGGGAATAGCGTTGATATGGCACCTGCTCTGTGCTGGCAGTGTGCTAAGCTGCAAACATCTCATTTGAGCTTCTTTTTTTGTTCTTTGTTTTTCTTTTTTCTTTTTTTTTTTTTGGCTAGGCAGTGGGGTTAAGTGACTTGTCCAAGGTCACACAGGTAGTAAGTGTTATGTGTCTGAGGCCAGATTTGAACTCAGGTCTTCCTGAATCCAGGGCCAGTGCTCTATCCACTGCGCCAACTAGCTGCCCCTCATTTGAACTTCTCAGCCACCCTGGGAAGTAGGTGCTATTATGCGCCCCATTTTACAGATGAGAAAACCAGGCAAATAGGTTAAGAGACTTGTCCAGGACCACATGGCTAATGTGTACCTGTAGTGGGATTTGAACTAAAGTTTTCCTGATTCCTCAGTTTTCTGCCCACTTTGCCACCAGCTGCCTCAGTTACGTAGTGGTGGGAAAGAGGGCAAAGGGTTCCAGGGGTCACGCAGGTCTTGGACAGTCTCTGTCCAGTGAGCAGTGAATTCCTAACACTGCTAGAAGCCTCGGGGTCTTAGGAGGAAACAGAGAGTGGCTTTCAGAACTTTGGGTAGATGCCCATTAGAAGACATGGGCAAGAAATGAGAGCCAGCAGGGGCAGACCCATAACCTTGCTGCCCTTTCCCCCACACTTGTTGCTCTGTAGAAAGTATCCATATAGAGATTTGAGAGATTGTGGAGAAGATTATATCATCCACCACTCTGGTGTGTTCAAGGCTCACAGAGGGTCCTGAACATCAGACACCATCTGGAGGGGCTTGCCCACACTTAAGTTATGGGGCCAGGAGCAGAATCCAAGACCGTGGAGTCCCTGGCCCTAGCTGGGACTCCCTCAGTGACTTCAGAGTTCTTCACCCTCTATGACTCCTGAACAAGTTTCTTCCTTTCTCTGGGCTTTGGTTTTCCCTATATATAAAAGGGGGAGCTTCATGAACTCAGGGGTCTCGAACCTTTCTGCAGTGGTTCTGTATATGTGCTTCACCTCTTGGGAGTGTTGTGAAGGTCCAGGGACATGGTGGAGGTCTGTGTTTGAAGTGATGGGGACTTTGGAGTGGTTGGGACCTGGGGCAGGGTTCCATCCTCACTGCTGCCCTTGGCCCGCTTTGCAGGGAACAGCTCCCCGAGTCGGCCTACATGCACCAGCTTCTGGGCCTCAATCTACTCTTCCTGCTGTCCCAGAACCGAGTGGCCGAGTTCCACACCGAGCTGGAGCGGCTGCCTGCTAAGGACATCCAGAGTAACGTCTACATCAAACACCCGGTGTCCTTGGAACAGGTTGAGGGGACTTGGCTAGAGCACGACTCCTGGGTGGGCGAGGGGGAACGGACCCAGGGGTGTGAGGGGCCCTCGGATCTCCTTAGCCCTCCTTTGTCTCTGTCCTGGTGACATCGCCTTCCCTTGTATTAGATATCATCTTGCCATGTCTGTCTTGTCAGGGTGTGCCCAGTAGGCGTAGGAGTGGGGAGCTTAACTCTGGGGTCTTGTTTGACGCACTTTCTTCCATCCCTAAAGTACCTGATGGAAGGAAGCTACAATAAGGTGTTCCTGGCCAAGGGAAATATTCCTGCTGAAAGCTACACGTTCTTCATTGACATTTTGCTGGACACGATAAGGTGGGTGTCATTCTCCTCGAAGCTGCCCCAAGGGGAGGCACACTGGGTTCTTCTGGAGTCGGGGAGAGTGCCATTTTCTAACCATAAACTCTATCCTCTCCACTGTGGGGCTGGGCACTGCCCACGGCTCATGCCAGACAGCCTCCCTTTGTATTCAGTAGTCAGAATGAGTTGGGGCGGCAGGAAGCCTCACTTCACTCCCTGCATGGCTCACGGTTTCTTTGTGATCTGGTCATCTCGTAAACCAGGCTTTAGCTTACTTTGCTGTAGTGACATACATACCTGCCCAAGTTTCTCCAAATCTTGTCATGTTGGCAGGGCTGACACGTTTCCAGTAGTCACAAACCCCACATTTTTCAGACCTTCCTCAGTGTCTGTCCTTTTTTTTTCCAATGAGCTAACGAGGCCCAGAACAGAGAGAGGACTTGAGGTTATGCCTGTGGTTAGGAGCTGGGATTTGATCCTCTGGGTCAAGTGTTCTTGGCCTGGTGCTTGGGGGAGGCTTTCTTCTGGGTCTCTGGGGCAGTGGGCTTGGGGAAAAGAGCTCTCTTGGAAAATGGGACCCATAGCCTGTTTCCTCATGTGTAAAATATGGGATGTCCTATAGACTACTCACCTCCCTGGCCAGTGGTGAGCACCAGAAGATGGAATGTGCTAGGTCTGGAGCTCCTCTGATTGTTAACATCAGTATTCTTGTCCCATTGACCTTCTGGTGAAGGCCAAGGCCTAGGCACCAGTGGTGCCAGAAAAGCCTTTGGACATTAGCTCATCTTAACTGAGGTGCAGAGAAAGGAGGAGGCTTTTTCCAAGGACATGGATAGAATCGGGTCTACCCGGTCTCCTTTTGCAGAATCACAATTTTTGCTTCCCTTGGGAAAATTTGAAGGTGCTATGGGCAGGTCACAGAAAGCATCGTGAAAAATTAGCTGCAAATGCCAGATAGTAGAGAATGTAAGCCTATAATCTGTAAAGCTGAGCTCCTGGACCCAAACCTGGCCGTGAGCCACGTGTTCCGGGGGTGAGCAAGGGCATCCATTGAGACTTGGGCCCTCTTGCACACTACAGCTAAGCTTCCGTGGCCTTGCAGATTCGTGGGAATTCATGTGTTATTTGAATTCAGGCTGCATGTTAACATTGGGCAGAACCAAAGGCAACTTCAGTGTGACATTGCATCCATTCAGCCCTTCCCTAGCATTTATGATTCACACTGTCCTGAAAAAAAGATCAGCCAGTGGATGGGCCTTGCCGTTCTTTACCATGTCCCAGAGTTGCTGGCAGGAGGACCATCTCCAGCCCGCTTGGCAGGGAAGCCCAGGCTGGACCACATACTGCTCATTCACAGTTAGAGATTGTTGTCCCCACTATAACCTTACAGGGCAGTGAGTACAAATAGTATCCCCACCTCATAGATGAGAGAACTGAGTCTCAGAGAAGGAAGACGGCATAGCACGTTTCATGGCTACTCCCTGTCAGAGACTGAATTTGAGCTCAGGGCTCCCAACTCCCTCAAACCCAGCATTGTACGGGACTTGGAAGAGCCTTTCCAGCTCCCCGTCTGTGCGGACTTATACGGCTGGTAGAGCCTCTTGTCTGTAGGACACTCAGATGAGGAAGGCGGGAGGCCACACGTTGATCCTGAGGAGCTGGTACTGGGAGAGAGGCTTGGGGCAGAGGTCACCTCCAGGCAGCACCCAGTGGGGGCTGGCTCTAAAGGGATGGGAGTCTTCCCTTTCATCTCCCCCTTCCCCAGCCGGTTTGGCCTCTTCATTCTGTTTCTCCTATCCAGGGATGAGATTGCTGGCTGCATTGAGAAGGCCTATGAAAAGATCCTCTTTGCGGAAGCCACACGAATCCTTTTCTTCACCACCCCCAAGAAGATGACTGAGTATGCCAAGAAGGTACTCAGACAGTGGGGGGAGGGGGAGATCTTGAGTCTTTGGGGGTTCCTTCCCTTCATCCCTTTCTCCCAATTCCCTTCTCTTTTCAGAGAGGATGGGTCCTGGGCCCCAGCAACTACTACAGCTTCACATCCCAGCAGCAGAAGCCTGAGGATACAACCATCCCCTCCACAGAGCTGGCAAAGCAAGTCATTGAGTACGCAAGGCAGCTGGAGATGATTGTCTGAGGAGGGGAGGGGGAAAGGGCAGGCTGAGAGACTTATTTAAAAGGGGAATAGTATGGTTCGGTGGGTCAATAAATGATATGAGGTCACCCGTCAGGTGTCTGTGAGTCTCTGGGGATGCTGTGAGCCAGGAGTATGGGAAGACACACTCACAGAGCCTCCACTGAGTAGTTAAGACAGGTGGGCCCAGGGCAGGTCAAGGCCTTGGTACATCCCCCCTGAGTTTCTGCCTAGCCCAGCCTTGGGAAGCTCACCTCTGGCTGGGAGGTCCTGCTACCTCTCTTGGCTTCTGCCCCAGTTAGGCGGCTTGTGGGCCAGTCCCAGGGCCAGAGAAAGAAAAGGGAAGCCCTGCCACTTCAGAGGCACAGGGGCCTTCTCCATGGAGGTGCTAACAGGCCCTCCCCCTACCAGCTGGGCGACAGAGGAGAAAAGGCACCATCGGGGGAGACTAGGTCTTTTATTGGAGGGACAGGAGATGGTCCAGTAGCCTCTCTTCTCCCCCATCAGTCTGCCTCAGCTGCTTGCAGGTCGTAGTGGTCCAACCCTGCCACTAAGGAGCCAGCCAGCTTAACTGTGGCCACCCATGGGGGCTCGCTCAGGTGATTGGTGGGAGTGCTCAGCCTAGGGGAAGAGGGAAGGAGGCAGCTAGGGCCTGGGGCTGAACTAGCACCATTACCCCATGCCCAGGCCTTCTCATTTTAAGCCCCAAGGGAGAAAGATTTGGGCCAAGTCAGGACCCATGGAGGCAGCCTGACAGAAGACGCTCAAAAATCTGGGTTCGAGTCATGCATTGGACTCTTCGGTGCTTGGTCCCCCCACGCCTCCCCCTAGTGGGGCAGCTTGCGTGGGCCCCAGGACCTGCTCACCAGGCTGAGACGTTGCGGGGCAGCCGGCGGTGCCTGGGCTGGTGGCGACAGTAGCACTTGCAGGGGCAGGAGCTGAGCACCTGGAAGGGTGGCCAGTGGCGAGCTGGAGGGGGGCCGCCACTCTCAGCGGGCTGGCCCTGGCCCGTCGCCGCAGCTCGGTCTCGGGGACCCTCGCCGCTGGCGCCCTCCTCCCGCGCAGTGCCGCCCCGCCCGTTCCTCGGACCCTTGTTCTTCTTGGTCCGAGGCTTGGCAGGGGCCGGCGAAGGAGGTCCTGCAGCCTGGGGAGACTGCACGGCCGGAGTCGGCTCGGGTACCAGGGCGGGAGGTGCTTCAGACAAAACAGACGCCGGGGGAGCTGGTGGCAGTGGCAGAGGCGGAGGCGGCGGTGGCGGTGGCGGCGGTGGCGGTGGCGGTGGTGGCGGTGGCGGCGACAGCTGGGGCGCTTCTTGCGGCTCTGGGGAAACCTGGACAGCTGGGGTCCGGGTCTCCGCGTCGACCGGGGAGGGAGATGGGAAGATGAAGACTGGGGGTGCCAGGAGCGCTGGGCCCGGCCTGCGAGGCCCGGGCGCAGGTAGAGGTGGTGGTGGCGGAGGCGGCGCCCCCCGAGGGGTAGCCAGCCCGGATCCCCGCCGCCTAGCTCCCCCCACACCACTGCCGCCGCTGCCGCTACCACCACTAGCCCCGTTGAACTGAAAGTGGCGATCGGGTCCTTCAGGCGGGGTTACCCAATCGAACTTGGGCTTAGCTCCTGGGAAGGGGGCGTAAGGTGGGGGTGGTGCCCGGGGTGCTGGCAGAGGAGGTGGGGCTGGGGGGCACAGCCGGGGGGACCCCAGCTGGCCCCTCTCCGTCTCCTTCCCCACCCTCTGTCTCCAAGGTACCCCGCATAATCTCTCCTGGGGCCCTAGGGGACCCAGGCCCCGGGGAGCCCTGCTTTAGGGCCTCGGCATAAGAGATGGCTCCCGAGGAGAAGAGCAGACCGCCCCCGCAAGCCGGGGGCTTGGGAGGCGCGGCGGCCCCGGCGGCCAGAAGGGAGCCGGACTGCAAGGTCACTTTGCACAGCAGGCTGAGGCCCGGCTCAGCCTCTGGCGGGGGTTCTCCTTCACCGCCTCCAGCCGCTAGACCCTCCCTCCCAGGGCTGCCAGTCTGACGCGACCTGCCTTCACCCGCGCCGCCTCGGGGGGAGCCCCCAGGAGGGGCGCTTCTCCGGCCTGAGGGTGCCTCTCGTTCGGGAGGCGGTTTCTGAGGTTCTGGGGGAGGGGATGGGGGCGGGGGCGGGGGCGGCAGGGCTAGACCCACGGAAGGCTCTGGCTCGTCCGCTGGGGGCCGTAGAGTGAGTAGGGGAGGAGGCGGGGGTGGGGGCGGCAGGCGAAGGCCAGGTGGGTCGCCCTGTCCTCGGTGGCGCGCCTCTAGCAGGCCCCGGATCCGGGGAATAGGTGTCCCCGGCGGCTTTCGCCACTTCGGGGGCGTAGGGAGCAGCGGCCCTGCAGTTCCCGCCGCCGTCGGAGGAGCCTCCTCTGGCGGGGGTCCGGCGGGCGGCTGCAGGTCGAGCGGTGCGAGGGCCAGCGGAGCAGGCTGAGGCGGGGAAGGTAGGGCCCCGGCGGCACCCTCAGGGGGCACCAAAAACCCCGGTGCGGTGGGGTCCCCGGGGAACCAAACTCCTGGACCGCGAGCCAAGGGCAGAGTAGGGGGCCCTGGGGCTGGGGGGCGCTGGCGAAGACTCTGCCTCGGCCAGGGGACCGCGGCGGCTGGCGTTGGCAGGGCGGTCCGAGGCCGGCTCTATCCGCGAGGCACGGGCCTTGCCGGGCTCTGAGCCGGGTGGCTCAGACTGCACGTTGCCCATTCCCAGCCCGGGGGGGAGGGGGAGGCTGCAGGCAATACAACCAACCCCGGGAAACCAAGGTCAGAGGAGTCTGGGGTCAGCAGAAGCCATCGCCCCGCCCCTAGATCTATGACTCCGCCCCCTCCGTATTGACCCCTCCCCCCAATCCGAGTCAAGCCGCCAGAGAGATACCCTTGTTTCTTTCACCCACGCTCAAGTCTAAGGATCTCCAAGCCCACCCTCTGCGGGACCTTGTCTTGAAACCTGCAACTCCTCCCCTTGAGTCAAGCCACGCCCCAAATGGGTACCTCTTTCCCTAGCTGTAGTTCTCCTCACCACCTGTAACCCTCTACCCAGGTCCCGCCCCTCCCGCAAACACTCACCGGCTCCCGGGTGGGACTTGGGCTCCCGATCAGGTGTGAGCTCACACCAAGCCCCGAGGAGAGGAGGGAAGAGGAACGGCCAGAGCGGACAAATAACTGAAAAAGAACTAGAGGAGTTGGGGGGAAAGACCCCGAGACCACCCGCCCCTCCCTTTGCCCCTCCCCCAGACTAGAAAATCTCCCCCCCAGCCCACACCTTTCGGCCCCTCCCCCTTCGGAACGTCTCGGTTCAGCCTTCTCTCCGGGCCCCGAACCATCCCCTCAGTCGGCTTCTCTCGGGCTTTTCCCCTCTAGATCCCCTTTCCTGTCCCGCCCTTCAGAAATCTCCAGGTCCTAGCCCAGTCTCATTTAGAGCCTCCCACCAACAGCCCCGCCCCTTGAGAAAGCTCACACTCCTCAACTCCGCCCAGGCCCCGCCCCTTAAGAATCCGGCACCATCAGGTCCCCCCCCCAAGAGTAAATTTCCCTTCCTGGGACCCGCACCTTTCGAGCCTTCCCCATCACCTCCCATGGGGTCCTGCCCTTTCGAGCCCTCCCCCATATAGCTCCTCCTCTTTCAAACCCTGTCCAGCATAGCCTTACCCCGGGCATTTGCTCTTATTCCAAGGGTCCGCCCCTTTGACACTCCCTCCCACCCTGCCCCAATCCCACCCCTCTCCCCCCCCCCACTGCAGAGAGTTAAGGTAGTGGTGGAAAGGATGGGGTGGTGGGGGGCAGGAGAAGGTTCTTCTCATTTGGGACAGGGGTGGGTTTGGGGAGGGTGTCTCAAGGCGTACTGGACCACAGGCAGGGAATTGGCGGCGGGCGCTAGGACCTGGCAGACGCATCTTTTTTTCTCCTTCTCTTCCCTCCTCTATCACCTCCCCTCTCCATCTATCCATTTCCCAACCCCCCCCATACCTTCCCCCCCCCAAGCCCGGCTCCCCATTCCGGGCTCCGTCGCCACCGCCACAGAGAGGGAGGGAAGGAGGGAGGAGGAGGAAGAGGAGGAGGCAGAGGCAGTCGCCGCCGCCACTTGGGAGCCCGCCGGGAGCACCGAGGCAGGTGCTTGGGGAAGGAGGGGGCGCCGAGGCCTTGGGGGGCCCGGGAAGGGGAGCCCCTTCCCCTGGAGTCAGGTGGGTCCCAGGCTGTGGGCGCTGGAATATGACTGCGCCTCCTCTTTTTTTTCTTTTCTTCATCTTCCTCCTCCAAGAGGATGCCAGATTGGGGTGAGGAGGGGGGTTCATAATAGGGAGGCTCCGGGACTGGGAATAAAAAGGAGGGATGGAGGGGGAGGGGAGGGAGAAGGGGGAGTCTTTTACTGTGTTTAGCGCCCCCACCCCTCTCACCGGAGCCATGGAGACCCTCCTACGGTCTTCCCCACCCCCATCCCCGTCGGAGGTCCTGAAGCCCAGATGAGGAACAGATTACCCATCGCTTTATCTTTGGGGAAGGGAGGAAATCAGGGGAGAGGAGAATGTGTATATTTGGGGAGGCCTGGGCAAGGGACGGGTGGAGAGAAAATTTGATGGAGAGGAGATGTTTGAGGAAGGGGGATTGGTGGAAGGGGGGTGGAGAGAGGGAGGGACACTTGAGGGAGAGGTTTGGGGGAGGGGGGAAGTTTGGGGAAATGTGGGGATGTCTGGTGAAGGGAGACTGGGTAGAGAAATAGTTAACGAATGGGGGAAGGGAGGTTTGGGGGAGGAATGCTTGGGGAGAGGGAGAGGAAGAGGTTTGGGGGTGGTGGGGGGTGTTTGGACGTGTAGAAACAGCTGCTTCATTCGTTTAAAAAAAAAGATTTCTGTCTCTGGAGCCTGCGGACCCAGGCATCCCTGGCTCCCAGCCCCTGTTTCTCCTTCTAACCCTTAGGGTTCACACGTTGTTGCTGGGGAAGGGTGGGGAAGAGAGGGGAGGAAAGGGGGGAGGGAGGACAAAGGGAGGCCCGGTCACGTGACCGCCCATTCACAAAATTCCCCCGGCCCATTGAGAAAAGGGGGCCCGGGGCTGCTGCTGGAGTCTGCAGAGCTGTTCTCAGAACCTGGCCTGAGCTGAGGAGGGCCCGAGCTGGGAAAGCGGAAGGCATGGAAAGCCGAGGAGGGCGAGAAGGGGGGAGGTTCTGGAAGGAGGTGGCGGGTGGGAGGAGGGCGCGGAGGCCTCAGTCCCTAGACTGGGGGGACTTGAAGAAGGGCGTGTGTGTGTGTGTGTGTGTGTGTGTGTGTGTGTGTGTGTGTGTGTGTGTGTGTGTGTGTGTGTGTGTGTGTCTCTGTATCTGGGTCTGTGTCTGTGTCTGTGTCTGTGTGTGGAGGGGACGTGGAGAGGGTGTTTCAATGTGTGGAGGGCGCCCAGGCCTCAGTCCCTAGACTGGGGGGACGTGGAGGACCGAGTGAGTGAGTGGGTGAGTGAGTGTGTGTGTGTGTGTGTGTGTGTGTGTGTGTGTGTGTGTGCTGGCGCGCGGGGCGCCAGAGGGGACGGGGCTCTCTGGCTTTTTATGAATGGAGATATCTATCCTCTCAGTATTGAATCTCTCAGACCCTGTCTCTCTTTTTCTCTGTCATTTTGACTCTATGTTCCTCATCCTATCTCTGCACTTCCTCCCTCCCTCTATACTTTTTCCGTTTCCACCCCCACCTCCCCAGCGAAGTCCAGCATTTCTGTGTATTTCTATATAGCTCCTCATCTCTGTATCTCCCTTAATTTTCTATTTTCCTATATCTCGCTGTATTTCTCTTTTCTCATCACCAATCCCCTCTGTGTTCCTTCTTTTCTCTTCACCTTCCCCAGCATCTCAGTCCTCTCCAACCCTCTTTCCTTATGTTTTCCGTGTCTTATGTCCCTCATCTGTGGTCCACCCATTTCCTGTATTTTTTCCTTATCTCTATGCACTTCCCTTCTTCCCTCTTGTCTATATCCCCCTTCTATCTGTATCCCTCCCTTCTCTATCATCCAGTCTAGACCTGTGTCCTTCTTCATCTCTGTGTCCTCATCTCTGACTCTTGTCTGTCTCCTCTCATCTCTCCTATTGTCTTCCCATTCTCACCTCATCTCCCTGTCCCCCTTATTTATGTCCCCTATCTATGTCACCCTCAATCCTTGTCTCCCCATCTCTCAGCCTCATCTCTGTCCTCCTACTTCTGGCCCCAACATAGGCGCCAGCCTCTCTACCTTGCCTCTTTCTTTATCTGTCCCCCTGCAATCTGGTCCCCATCTCTGAGTTTGCCTGCTTCTCTGTACCTCATTTCTGTCTCCTCTGTAACCCCCATCTTTGTCCCTCATGTCTTTCTATGTCCCTCTCACATCTCTGTCCTGTCTCTCTATTCAACCGTCTCCTTGTGTGGTGTCTGGACTCCATCTCTCTGTGCCTCTTTTTGAGGTCTCTGTCTCTGCTACCCTCATTTCTGTTTCTCACTGTCTGTCTCCCATTTATTTCTGGAACTCCTTTATCTGTGTTGACCCTCCTCCCCAATCAATCTTCTCTATATATCCTTGTCTCTCTGTGCACCCCAATTCTCTATCTTCCCTATCTCTCTGTCCTCCATCTCCATAACTGTGTCCTTGTCCCTCTGTGTCCCCAGTCTCATCTCCCTGTGTCCCCATCTCTGTCCATAACTTTTCTGTTCCCCCTCAAGCATCTCTGTGCTCTCTTCCCTTCATCTGAATCACATTCTGTCCCCCTTTTCTACATGTGCCATATTGCTTCTGTGTTCTTCATCTCTTGGTCTGTCCCCTTCATTTCTCAGTGTCCCCCAAAACTCTCTACATTCTCTTATCCATGCCCCCATCTCCATTCTTTTCTCTTTCTGTACCCCTTTGTCTCTCTATCTCCCCATATTTCTATGCCTCCCTTTCATCTCTTCAGACACACTTTTCTGGGTCCCCCTGTCTTTCTTTGTCCCCTTCATTCCTTAGTGTCCCCCTCCTCCCCTCTGTGTTCCCTTCATATCTCTGGATCCTTTCTCTTTTCTGTGTCCACCATCTTTCTGTATCACCTTGTCTCCTTCTGTGTCCCCTTATATCTCTCTACTGGCTATCTCCCTATTTCTCTCCCTAGCCCCCTATTTCTTTATGTCTTCCTCTCTGTGATCCTCTATGTTCCTGTGTTTCCTCTATGCCCCCCACATATCCGTAACTTCAGTATCTATACCACATCTTTATGTCACCTTGTCTCATCTGTCTCTGTTCCCCTCATGTTTCTGGTTCCTCTCTCCCCCTTTTCTCTGTCCCCCCTTTCTCTCTGTGATCTCCATCTCTCTGTGTCATTCCCCTGTCTATCTTTATATCCCCATAACTCTCTTTGGGTCCCCCTTGTTTAGAAATACCCCCTCATCTCTCACTCCTTTTAAAATCCTCTCCTCTATGTCCTTTGGCCCATATCCCCTATCTCTTGGTCTCCCCCCTTGGCTCTCTAGATGTGTGTCCACATCTCCCTGTTCTCTGTGTCTCTTTGTCCCTTCTATCTAATCTATTATCCTCTGTCTCAATGTCCTTTCTGTTTCTTCCTGCCTCTATGTGCCCTATCTCTCTCTGTCTCCCCTTAATTTTCTTAGTCCTCTGTGTGTTCCTTCCTTGTATGTTTCCCCTATCTGTGTCCCCTACTTATCTCTCAGGCCCCTTTACTTTTGATACCTCTCTCTGCATACCCCAATCTATCTGTGCCTCCTCATTTATCTATCCCCCTCCATCTTGATGCATTCCCAGCCTCTCACTGTATCACTCTGTAGTGACATCTCATGTGTCTCTGCATCTCCCATCTCTATGTGTGTCCCTGTCTCATCTCTTGGTATCTCTGTCTCTCTGGGACTCCTTTGTTTCTCTGTCTTTCTACCACATACATCTCTTGTCTCTTGGTCCACCAGTTTCTGTGCAACCCCCATGTCTCCCCTCTCATCTCTCTGTGTCCACCTCATCTCTGTATTCCTTATGTCTGTGACCTCCTAGCTCTGGACTTCCCATCTCTCTTTATTCTCCTCCCTTTCTCCATGGCTTCCCATCTCTCTCTATCCCCTTCCTTGTGTCTCTGGGGTCCCATCTCTCTGTAACAACTCTTTGTGTTTTCATTTTGGGTCCCCCCTCCCTTTCTCCATTACCTCCTTTGCCTCCATGTCCCCATCTGTCTGAGACCCTTTTGTGTGTGCCCACCTTTCCCCTGGGCATCCCATCTCTGTGTCTCCCATATCTCTATGACCCTACCCTTCTCTGTTCCCTCTTTGTCTCTGTCTCCCTTATCTCTCTAGACCACTCTGCCTCTATATCTGTGACACCCTCTTTCTGTCCCCCTTCTGTTTTTGTGCTCCTGTGTCATTCTTTTGCCCTCTTTTCTCTGTGTCCCATAGCTTATTCCTTGGCTTGTGTTCCCATCTCTGTGTATGCCCTTCTCTGTGTCTCCCTATCTCTCATTGCTCCCCCATTTCTCTCTTCATCCCCATCTCTTTGCATCACTCTTGTTTCACTGACTCTTGGTTCTCTAGGTCTCTTGTTTGTCTCTCCTCCATCTCTGTGATCCCTTTTGTGACCTTCTGTCCCTCTATGTCCCCAAACTTACCATGACTGCCTGACTTTCTGTTCCCCTCATCTGGGTCCTCTCAGATCATCCTCTGGGCAGTTTTGGCCTTTTTCCATGTCCAATGTCTTATTCTTTGGACACTTTGTTTCCCCCCCCTCTCTTTGTGTGACCCCATTGTTTCTGTGTCTTTGTAATTCTTTATATCTCCCTGTATGTTGCCACTGTCTCTGTGTTCCATTTTGTCCCTTTCTCCATATCTCTTTCACCTATCTATATGCCCCTATCTCTGTATCCACATCTTTATGTGATCTCTTCATATGTTTCCCCCAGATCACTGGGCTCCCTATCTCACTGTGTCCTCTCCCCTTATCTTTGTCCCCTCATGTCCTCCCTATTTCTATAGCCCTCACTTCTGTCCCTCTTGTCTCTGTGGTTCTCCCTCTGTTTCCTCCCTTGCCTTTTTTTTTCCTTTCTTTCTCTCTGTCTCTTTGCTCTGACCATGGCTGCCTTCCACCCTCTCTTTATTTCTATATTCATCTCTGTTTCCATCTCCATCTCTCCCTGTCTGTTTCTTTGTTCTCCCCTTTCCTCTACACCACTCTGTGCCATTACATTTTCTCTCTATGTGGTCCTTCC